GACGGGGTTTCACCATATTAGCCAGGATGGTCTCGATCTCCTAACCTCGTGATCACCCGCCTCAGCCTCCCAAAGTGCTGGGATTACAGGCGTGAGCCGCTGCGCCTGGCCCGCCTCAGCCCCTGGTTTATGGGCCACTTGTGCTGTTGCCTGTTTGGGTAGACCTTGAGACTTCAGCCAGTGAGAAGATGATAGAACCCCTGTTTCCCTCTGGGGGAAAATGGTGTTGAAGAAGGTTAGCTAGTTCTTGGCACTGTTTAGAGAAGACCTTACCTTGAGAAAGTGTGATGGAGAGTGTCCTGAAGGAATGGCTGGCTTAGACATCCAAGAAGGAATGTGGAGCTGAGGTCTTTCAGTGTCAGTTTCTGTGACCCAGGGAAACTCGGATGTGTGGAAAGCCTCTTAGGAAAGATTTTTCATGTTGTCTTTCTGTAGGTTCAGGAATTCATGGTTTAACTGCAAGCCTGACTGCTAGTAAGAAGAGACGGCCCTATTCAAAGATAAATTTTATATTGTATACAGAGGCAAAGATTTTAGTTTTTGCTCTCCTCCACCCTGTTTTTTTGTTTTTGTTTTTAGTTTTTGAGACAGGGTCTTGCTCTGTTGCCCAGGCTAGAGTGCAGTGGCGTGATTATAGCTCACTGTAACCTTGAACTCCTGGGCTCAAGCAGTCCTCTTACCTCAGCCTTCTGAGTAACTGGAACTTCAGGCATGCACCACCATGCCCGGCTATTTCTTAATCTTTTTGTAGAGATGGAGTCTCTCTATTTGCCCAGACTGGTCTCAAACTCTAGGTCTCAAGTGATCCTCCTGCCTTGGCCTCCCAAAGTGTTGGAATTATAGGCGTGAGCCACTGCATTCACCCCATCCCTCTGTTTTTATTCCATGCTTTTAGACTACAAAACGAAAACCAAAGTGAGCTGGTCTTTAGAATCAAATTGCACTAATTTTACCCTTTTCAAATTTGAAATCCAGTGAGTTTAAGTTGAACATGGCTGTTCGTGGCTATTATGTTGATGAAAATAGATAGCTAAGCAGTTCAAAAAGACGTGAGTATCTAATGTGTGTAGTTCTCAAGCCTGGCTGCCATCAGGAAGAAAGGATGGGTCGGGATAGGTGTAAGGAGATGAAAATTACTGACAAAACCCAGCAAAAACCCAGATTGTTACAAGTATTCCAAGAATGTGAAAGGCGTGAAAAGAAAAAGGCTTGCTATTTACTAACGTGTTGATCTTAGATGTTTGCTCAAGTCAGTTTGTTCTAGTTGAATTCCTAATAATGTATTAGCCTATTGAAACATTTCCAGGCTGATGAGAAAGGAGAAGGTTGTTCTGAAATGGTTGGTTGTAGAGAGGCCTCACTCTGGGTTGTTACAGGAGGCTAAAGTACCAGGATTAATTTGTGTTCAATACAGAGGTCTTTCTTTAAAGAATTTTAAAATGGTATAAATATATAGGCCTTTAAAAAGCGTTTGGAAAGAGAAATACATAACTTGTAACAGACTTTTATCTCTTTTGAAGTGTATATTTAGCTTAGGTTTTTTTCTTTATATATTAAGAAATACTTCTGAATGAATATAAAATGGTATTGAAATGTGTACCACGTGTTAAGATAGCATACTTGTGCTTTCTTTTAGTGTTGTGATTTGTGATAGATATTTCTTTTCTTTTTATAATGTAGTCTATGCATGGAACATTGAAAAGTATTGAAGGGCCTCCAAACTTGGGTATAAACTTGCCTTTGAGCATTAAGCCTACAACTCAAAATTCAGCAAATCAGAACAAAGAGGACACCAAATCCATGAATGGGAAAGAGAAATTGGAAAAGAAATCTCCATCTCCTGTGAAAAAATCCATGGAAACCAAGAAAGTGGCCAGTCCTGGGTGGACGTGTTGGGAGTGTGACCGCCTCTTCATGCAGAGAGATGTGTACATATCCCACGTGAGGAAGGAGCACGGGAAGGTCAGTAAAGAATGAAAGCCGCTCCGGGTGAGTGCAAGAGAGGGCACTGGACTGGCAAGCTTCCAAGATGTGGGCTCTTGGCTTGGCTCTCTCAGTAATTAGTGGTGTGACCTTAAAAATCACTTGGTGTCTCTGTGTCTCAATTCTTTATCTGTAAAATGGACCTTTCCAAATCCTTCAGTCTTTAGTTTTCCTAGTCATTGCCTTCACACGCACTCCTCCAGACTGGTGTGCATGAATGTGGTAAGTTACCTACCACATTCATGTTTATAGCTTAGGAAAGAGAAATATAGTAAACCAAGGTTAAAGGCGTTTGAATTTACCTCTATCCCTGTACTAGCTAAGGGAGAAAGGAGCAGAGAAAGACAGTGGAAATGCTGAACACTGCCGGGAGCATTTGTGTAACTTACATGATTCTTCCTTGAGTTTGGTAGTGGGAAGAGGAACCACGTCCTTTTACTTCCAGTAGAAGCTCTGTAACTCAAGATCGCTGAAAAATCTGAGTCACATATGTATATCCTTTCTCTTATAAATAGTATATGTCTCCCACTGATAAGAAATTTTAAAAATACTTATGACTAGACCTAATAACATTAGCAAAATTATTTTTCAATATTATCTAATACTGTATTAAATACAATATTAGGCTGTATTGACATTTCCTGATTGTCTCAAAGTTGGTTTGTTATGGTCAGGATCCAAAAAGTCCACATATCACATTTGGTTGTTGTGTCATTATTTTATGTAGTCGTCCTTCCAGTTTATTTTTTAATGTACGGTTGATTTCTTAGAAAAATTGGATTGTTTGTCCTATATATAGGTTGTCCCTCACTTTACTAGATTTGGGTAATTGCTACTTTTTTTTTCTAACTTGCTGACACTAGGAACCAACATGGAATTTGCTACTTTTTTTTTTTTTTTTTTTTTTGAGAAAGTGTCTCACTTTATCGTCCAGGCTGAAATGCAGTGGCATGATCTCGGCTCACTGCAACCTCTGCCTCCTGGGTTCAAGCAATTCTCGTGCCTCAGCCTCCCAAGTAGCTGGGATTACAGATGTGCACCACCACGTTCAGCTAATTTTTTAATATTTTTAGTAAAGATGGGATTTCACCATGTTGGCCAGGCTGGTCTTGAACTCCTGGTCTCAGGCAGTCCACCCACTTTGGCCTTCCAAAGTGCTGGGATTACAGGCATGAGCCACTGTACCCAGCCAGAATTTGCTACTTTTTGACACCGTTCAACTTGTTCCTCTTTATCTCATATTCCTGGAATTTTGATTAGATTTGAATTTTTTAGATAAGCCTATGTCAGGTGGGCATGGTGGCTCATGCCTATAATCCCAGCACATTGGGAGGCCGAGGCAGTTACTTGAGCCCAGGAGTTCCAGGGTGCAGTGAACCATGATCATGCCACTGCACTCTAGCCTGGGCGATAGAGCAAGACCCTGTCTCAGAACCAAAAAACAACAAAAGAATATGTCATAGGTGCTGTATTCTTTTTGTATTTCATCATGAGGAACAGAATACCAGCTTGTCTCATTTGTAGTCCTAATACTGAGATTGATTAGTGGGTTCAGATACATGACATTTTTAAAGAAAGTCATCTTAGTGCTTTAACTTAAGCCAATAGAACAAAATAGTCATGCATAGTGAGCCTTTATAGAGAGTACATAGGAATTGTTTTGTGATTAGTATACACTACAGCCTTGAGGAGTTTGTTCTAGCAAATGTGCTAAGAACTGTTCTATAATCTCATTTATTTGTACTACTTGTTTGAGGTACTCATGAAACTGACATGTTTTACTTTGTGATTATCCAAATGGCCTGTGACTATGGCTGGATCACAATGTTCACAAATTGCAAAAAGATGTTTTTATTGTATTTGGTCTCACTACAGTATGTCTTGATATAAAAAGTAGTTACTTACAGAATATATTTGGCTTTAGTGGCACGTTGCTTATTTAATCATCTTAGTCTTAGGCTTTCCTGCTAGCATTGTACAGTGTTCATTGTAAATACTGGGTAGTTTTTAAGGAGCAATACTTTAATAATCTACAGTATAAATACACTGCCAGGGGTGCTGTCAGTCTGATGTGGTGGTTCTAGGGAGTCTTCACTTGGCACCCCTACCAGACTGCATAAGAGTCAAACAGGAGCTGGCCTTCGTCATCATCCGGTAGTCCAGTCCTTTCATTTCATGAGATTTCTGTAACTATCTTGTAACATTTCAGAACTCTTTTCCTTTTTTAAAAAAACTATCTTTATCTTACATAAGAGATAATGATTAGATCTAGGATATAAGAGGAGGAGATGATTTCAAAAAAGTTGGTGGGATGAAATGTAACACTGATTGAAAGCCTTTGCTCTGGACCTGCACAGAGATCCCACTCTGAATTGCATGTGTGTGCATGCTTGTGCCCTTGGTTTTGATGGAGATGTTCATCAGAATGGAAATGTTTGGCTTAGTAGGATTTTAGGATTAGCTTTGAAGGAGTTGAGGCCCTGCCTTTGGAATAAGGCACATCAGATTATATTGTAGTTTCAATCCTGTTCCCTCAGCCTCCTGAGAGAATGAAGGAGATGAGTGGGCAAGGAGAGGGGAGGAGCGTCTTCATAAGCTAGTGAAATGGATGGTGTTGAATGCGAGAGTTCCACCACGCCAAATCATACTGGAGCACCCACTTCCAAACACCCCTCTACAAGTTTCTTTTACCTATCTCCATTCATTTCTCCTTTCCTAGAATACTCAAGTCACCCAAACTTCAAAGCCCCTGTGCTGTCTTTTCTCTGTCTTCCTTCAGACAACCAGGCAAGCACCTTGCTGTCTGTATCTTTCCTTCCCATTTACCCTGGGCTTGCCACCTTATCACTGAACCCAGTTCTCTGGTGACCCCTTTGTTGTTAAGTCTGTTGGATGTGTTTCTGTCTTTACCTCCACTCACCTCACAGCAGTATTTCACATGATTAGAAGTTCTTTCTAAAAGCATTTTCTACCTTATTGGGAATACCACTCTCTCCTGGATTCTCTCTCCATTACTGGAACACCCATCAGGTTTCTGTCCTAGAAACATTTAACCTTCTCTTGGGAAAATTCAACCACTCTTATAACTTTGCTACTCGTGTTCAGTATATATACGGATAGCACCCACATCTGTGTCTCCATTTTAGTTGAAAAGTATTTCTTGAATTAATAGACCAAAAATGAGTTCTAATTTGGAAGACATCTAACTCCTCTTAGACTTAACCTCCTCTTCTTTAAAATGGTTACATGTTTAGTGATCTTCCAGTGTCCTGTGTTTAAGTACCTAGAGAACTGTATATGAGGTGATAAGTATTCTCTAATCCTATGGGCTTAAGATGTGATATCAATATGAAATACACTATACACATATAAGGGATCAAAAATTATATTTGGCTAAAGGTCTCAGGAGAGAATACAGTTTTACTTCCACCAGCCCAGAAGTTACTGTAAAGATCCAAATGTATTGGATTACCCAATGAAATATTATTATGCATTATGATAAATATGTCAGTGTTCTGAACCAGTGAACTTTGAATGTATACTTGATTTTAGTATCATAATTATGACTTAAAATACATATATATAAAATATAACTTGAGGAATAATCTAAATGCATTCTGCCAACCACAGTACAGTCATTACTTTAGTGTTATTGCTTCTAGTATGATTATTATTTTGATAAGGTTTGGAGTAAATATTTCAGGTTAGGAGTAAATTTAACTGGCATAAGTTAAAAATTTATGTCAAAATATTATAATTCACTGCTACTCATTTTAAATGGCTGTTTTGGTTTCGGTAATTGTTTTTGACCTTTCTTCCCCTTCTCAGTTCCCATCCAGCACTTTACTAAAAAGAAATATTTTGTATACAGTTCCATTTATTAAGTAAAGGTATTCAGTAGCTTTGTCTTTAAGATTCAGAACTGGCCGGGCCTGGTGGCTCACGCCTGTAATCCCAACACTTTGGGAGGCCAATGCAGGCAGGCGATCACTTGAGGTCAGGAGTTCGAGACCAGCCTGGCCAACATGACGAAAACCCATCTCTACTAAAAATACAAAAACGAGCCAGGCATGGTGGTGGGTGCCTTGTAATCCCAGCTACTTAGGAGGCTGAGACACGAGAATTGCTTAAACCCAGGAGGCAGAGGTTGCAGTGAGCCGAGATTGTGCCACTGCATTCCAGCCTGGGCAACAGAGCGAGACTCTGTGTCAAAAAAAAAAAAAAAGGAAAAAGAAAAAAAAAAGATACCAAAACCTAGTTCTGGCTCTGCTAGTTATTCAGTAGCTTTTCTATGTCTCTGATGCTCTTTTTAAAAAATGAATTGTCGCAGGCCGGGCGCGGTGGCTCAAGCCTGTAATCCCAGCACTTTGGGAGGCCGAGACGGGCGGATCACGAGGTCAGGAGATCGAGACCATCCTGGCAAACCCCGTCTCTACTTAAAAAATACAAAAAAAACCAGCCGGGCGAGGTGGCAGGCGCCTGTAGTCCCAGCTACTCGAGAGGCTGAGGCAGGAGAATGGCGTAAACCCGGGAGGTGGAGCTTGCAGTGAGCTGAGATCCGGCCACTGCACTCCAGCCTGGGTGACAGAGCGAGACTCCGTCTCAAAAAAAAAAAAAAAAAAAGAATTGTCAGTATCTACTTTCAGTGGTTTTTAAACTTTTTTCCAGTTATTTGTCGTAATCTAATATCAAGTCAAATACTTTTTAAAAAATGGACAGATATTCAGTGCATATTATTCAGATATTAAAGGCATAATCATCTTAAAACCTACAATTTGCTGAATTACTACTTTAGCTATTTAAAAAAGAAAAATAGTTAAAGCAGCAGCATTTTAAGAAGTTCTTGTTACAGAAATTCTATATACAGAAAGCAGTAAAAAACTGATCAGTTTCTCTTTTTAAAGTTTTTTCTCAAATGCTTATGTATTGTCTAATTTTTATTGCACTTTCTAAAGTTGGTATTATTGTTTTGTTATGGC